AATGGTATCATTTTGGAATACCAAAAATTGGTATCAAAGTAGAACTTTCATGGCTGGCATGCTCTTATTGACAAGTTTATTAATTAATTTATTCACTGCACTGAATATTAAGATATTAAAAATACATTTATTATGAATTTTAAGAAAGAGAGAAACGAAAAGTTATAAATTTCGAGCAATTAAATAAGAAAAAATTTATTTCGAAATAAAATGAAATACACTAACCTTTATTTATGTTTATCACATAAGATTTAAGTTAAGTTCACAATCACAACACTTGAAAATTTTTAATTATTTTTATGGTTCAAATAATTATCAATAAATTATTTATTATAAATGAACAAAATTTAAGCAATGCACGCTTGATAAATATTTCTAATGCGTTGTCAATTAATGCAATTAATAATTTCCTATTACACAATATCATAATCGACATATATGACATTTGAAAACAAACAGGGTTGGGAAACAAGAGCCCAAAATATTTTCGTCCAAAGCAGAGTTGGGTAGGATTCTGTTTCACGTTTAAGGTACATGTAATTTTGAAATAGGGAAAAACTGAATAATTATTTTTTAATAGTTTTGTTAAAAATAATTTGAACTGTTAAAATAATGAAAAAAATTCAAATGTTGCGATCTTTTTCAGACAAATGAAAATTCTATTAATTAGAAATTCTGATAAGAGTGTCGAACGTTGTCTTGATCAAAAACATCAAAAACTATAGCCTGTTTCACGTTCACCTCTTAATTGCAATGTTTTAACTAATGAAATTTAATGTTTAATGTTAAAATTAAATGTTTAATGTTAGTTTAAATTTAATGTTTCTATCAGTGAAACTAAACTATACTTTTATAAACAGGTTGAGAACCTTTTCGTGATAACGGAGCGCTCATAGCGAGAATTTGGAAAATGCATACACTTTCTGAAAATTATTGTTGGACATAATTTCAATCCTACCCAACTCTGCTTTGGACGAACATATTTTGGGCTCTTGTTTCCCAACCCTGTTTGTTTACAAATGTCATATATGTCGATTATAATATTGTGTAATAGGAAATTATTAATTGCATTAATTGACAACGCATTAGAAATATTTATCAAGCGTGCATTACTTAAATTTTGTTCATTTATAATAAATAAATTATTGATAATTATTTGAACCATAAAAATAATTAAAAATTTTCAAGTGTTGTGATTGTGAACTTAACTTAAATCTTATGTGATAAATATAAATAAAGGTTAGTGTATTTCATTTTATTTCGAAATAAATTTTTTCTTATTTAATTGCTCGCAATTTATAAGTTTTCGCTTCTCTCTTTCTTAAAATTCATAATAAATGTATTTTTAATATCTTAATATTCAGTGCAGAGAATAAATTAATTAATAAACTTGTCAATAAGAGCATGCCAGCCATGACAGTTATACTTTGATACCAATTCAGGTATCAAAAAATGATCTCATATTCTGGATCATTTCTTGAAAATGACCCAAATATTTGGATCAATTTGACCTTATATTGATTGAAAACCACGTTGAAAACGTTGCATGAGTTGATCTTAATTCTTGTATCAATTTGATACACACAAGAAAACTGTGTATGTTATGTGTTCTGCACTATGTAATTCTTTTTGGAAATTGAAAAAAGTGATTAAAATTACTAGGGACGTTATCCCTAGTGTAGTTCTATTTACACCTTTAGGTGGTATGTGTGAGTGATATTTGTCAGGTATTCTCGACTTTTAAGTTCGTTTTAATGATTGTAACATAAAATTTTCTTAAACAAAGGTATAGGTAGGAAACTTTTTTTTATGTCAACATTTCTAGTTATAAGATTTTTGTATGATCTATCTATGACTCTATTTTCTTGTTCTATTGTAAGAAATGTTCATTTACATTTGTTTAGAAAAATACCTTTTTTTCTATAAAACTATGTAAATGGGCTAAAATTTATATTTAACAATTTTTTTCAGGAATACCATTGTAGTAAGAAAATATTTTTTTTATTCTTACATTTTCAATTATTATTATAAAAATGTGTCATTCACTGTTTTCATACAAGGTATTTTTAAGATATTATTTTAAACTCTTATCAAAGTGTTGTATAATTTTAAACTTATCAATGCAAATCTTTTATAAACATACGATGAAATTGTACATTTTTAAAAATGCAACTAATACCATTTAATTGTACGTGCAAAATACTAAAAAAAAAACTTTTATGCTGACTATTTTGTTAGTTTATTTATATTATTGTACAATTGTTATAAACAATTACAATCAATTTATACCTACTACAGTTAAATGCGACAGTAAAACAGATAATAAAGGATTAACTGTTTAGGATCCACCACGAGGTTAATGAAAATGAAATAATACATACTAGATAATTGATTCTGGAAATATTTATTTTTAGGAGAACATAGTTTATTATTATATTAAATAAAAAATTCTCAAAAGAAATTTTATTTTTAATATGTTGTGAGGTACTAAAAATCAAATTTACGCAGATTTTGATGATACTCATTCATAGCTTATATGTAGAGTTTATTAATTTTCATCTCCTGATGCTATTTACTTGCACACGCTTCTTTCTATTAATGTAAAAAAGAAGACATTATTAATAAATTATAATACCTATATTAATAAATGGAGAATTAGGTTGTAATTGATTTGCATACGCTACACATTTCTTAATTTGAAATACTCTAAAAAAACCGTCTTTTCTGGTAAGTAAAAATCAAAATAGATATAGTTTTAAATATTTTTAAGTCTCGCAGCTGTTTTTTTCAAATTCATGAATATGTAAAATACATTTTTAAAAATTTTGAATCTTGTAAATCTTGATAATTAATTTTTTAAAATAATTCAGACTGAATACAAAGTAGAAAAATTTCTTACTCATATCGCAACTGTTGCTGCAGCATTGTCTATGTTTTTTGCAGCTTTGCCCTTCCTTTCGGCAAGTTTCAGCAATGACTCCTGTCATCATCAAAGTACTCAAAAGAGCAAAAAGTACCAACAATAATGTAAGTTTCATTTTTCAACTGATAACAATAAACATCACTTCCATGGTTTATATAGCGTAAAACTGAGTAACAATTAAAATGTTTACTAGAATAAGGAAAAGCCGTTTTCCTCATTTACAAAACAAATTATTTAATAAATATTAATTTAAAAAAAATAAAAGTGCAATGTGTCTCGATGCAATCTTTATAATAACGAACTCTAATATTTGACAACGAATAAATATTAGCACTGTTAACCATTATCATATTCTATATAGCTTTAATTATAGTCATAATATTTTAGCAAATATTGTTTCCAAAATGGTATACATAATTTTTTTTACTTAGGAAATTGAAAAATTGTTTTAGAATTATTATTTTTATACCTTCTACAAAAATTTATGGATTTTCATTTATCATCAGGGCTTTTTCGGTTTTTATGTACTTTTCAATGACTGAAAAGTTTTTTCAAAAAACATTTTATGTTCTTTTTTTCAAAATTAACCCTTATTTTTCATTTTCAACCCCTTTTCTGCGCCTTAAAGATATTTCATTTATTTTTATTTGAAAGCTAAGACGGAATTTATTTATTTTGAAAATTGGAAAAATTATTAAGACTTAATTATAAGTACAAAAGTAATTTAATTTTAAAATATTTTAAGTTTTCTTATTTATTGCTAGTTAAAGAATATATTTTGAATTTTAAAATAAACGTACCCTAATAACACAAGATATCTTGGGATATATTGATAATATCCCGCAGATATCCTAGGGATGTCCTATGGATATCACACGGAGAGAAATAGATGGTAAGAATTTATGATCTTAAGATGGTAAAAAGTAGATGTTATCCGGTACTATCGTTATGCTACTCGGTACTATCAAAGATGTTACAAAAAGTATGGTTATGTTACCCACTACTATCATGATGTTACCCCGTACAATCTGGATAGTAACTGATAGAATCTAGATTGCTGTCCGTATATGTAAGATCAAATATGGTACCTGGTACTATCTAGATAGTACCCCGTACCATCTATTTCTCTCCGTGCAAAAGGATCTCTTAAGGATATCTAAAAAATCGGCGGTTTGGATATTCCATGGATATCTGAGGATATCCACAAGATATCTTCTGGATATCTCTATAGACTTTCATAAGTGTCCTCCAGATATCCCACACATATCATCAGGATATCCCATAGATATCGTCAGGATATCCCACAGATATTTTCAAGATATTCTCAGTATATCTTCTGGATGTCAAGAAGATATTCTCAGGATACTGTTTTTAAAGTCATTATGAGACTACGAGTGAGAATATTCTGTGAATTAAATTTTATATAAATAAACTAAAATGCAACTTGTTTTTCGAGAAAGTTGTTTAATTTGAAAAATTATTAACTAATTTTTTTCTCATTCGTGATTTATTCCTTTATTCATATGCTTAATATTGTCAGAAAATAAATTGCCTTTCAACAATATAAATTCTTCCCCGCAAATAACGAATAACTATTAATATTAATTATTATACATTAAGTGCATGAGTATATTTAAAAACTTTGAAAAATGCGTTTCAAATCTTCATTTAAAATAAATTAGAAGCTCATAAGATTTTTGTTTTTATTATATTTTTATTCATTATATTAGCTTAACAATTTTAACCTTTAAAAATATATGTTGAGATATTAAATATCCAGTGAATATCCCAAGAATATCCCACGGACATCCTGAGGATATCCCATGGATATCCTCAGGATATCACATTGATATCCTGCGATATAATATCCAATAGATATTTTGTGAATGTCTTAGGGATATCCTGTGGATATCCTATGGATGTCCTGTTGATGTCCCACAGACCGGCGGTTTGGATGTCCTATGGATATCCCAAGATATCTTGGGGACCATTTTAGGATATCGACCATTGATATGGATATCCTTTTGTTATGAGGGTAATATGTTAAAATGCTTTAAAATTGAAATGAAAAACATAGTAAAGCAAATATTTAAATTTATTGATCATATACAAGATAATTAATATTTTGTAAAATTAAATATAAGCATTAATGCTAGAATAAAATATTTATTTTTTTGTAATAAGATTACAGCATTTAAGAAAAAAAATCCAATACAGAGTTTATTTTTTAACATCTTTGAAGACAATAAAATATAAAATGTTAGCGGTTTTGCAAGATGAACATTCATAGGTGATGTAGAATTAATTCCTTTGAAAATTGCAACGTTCTTTATACCATTAAAATCTTAGTGTTTGAATATTTTCATCTGTAGGAGTTATTATTTGCACACGCCTCTTTCTGTAAATAACAAATATACAGTTAACTTTTTTTGTTTAAAGATAAACATCAATTTAAAAAGAAACTTTAATTCTCGAAGCTGATATACATAAAATGATGAAATAAGAAAGAACGTAGTATACATTTCTCAATATTTGAATTCTGCAAACTAACAACTACGAGTGCCATTAAAGAAGAGTAAAAAATCTAAATAATATCACTGATTTAAAAAATTTGTAAAATAAATGAAGGGCTAAATGTATTAATTAGAATCCATTTAGAAATGATATAGAATTGTTATACAGTAAATGAAGTATTCTTACTTTGATTGCAATTATTGCTACAGCATTGTCTGTTTCGACTGCAACTCTGTCCTTCTTTTCGGCAAGAATCGGCAACGACTCCTGTCATCATGAAAGTGCCCAAAAGAGCTAAAACTGCTAACAATGTAAGTTTCATTTTTCAACTGATACCAATTGTCTTTGAGACTTTGGTTTATATACAGTAAAATTGAGACGAAAATAAATTAAAAATTGAGTGGAGGAAAATTCTTTATACTTCACATCTGTAATAATAGACGTCAAAAAAGCTGTGTTTATTTTATAATAACATTAATTTATCTGTAGCGAGATAAACATTAGGACAGTTGAGCAGAGATGTACTTTAGATATGATGTAAGATCATAGACTACGAAAACATTTATGACGATTTTTTTTATAAATCCCATTGTCCTATATGAAAGTATAAAATCCCTAAAATATAATCTTATTTTCAAAAATATTTTGATATCTTCATGCTTTAAATGCATCATACTTTAAAAGTTCCTAATCTTGATTTCCATTGTGAGTAATCTTCTTAGGTGACTTAAACTTAATTTTTTTGAAAATATCAAATTTTTTTATCTTACGCGTGTAAGTCTTAAAGTGTGAGATATAAGCTTTAATTTAAGCCTATATAGAAGTCGCTATCACGTCAGGATAAAGAGAAAAAAATACGGAAAACCCTCAAAAACACGGTTTTTAAAGAGTTTACCCCCATTTTACTTTTACTTACTGACTTGGTAGACCTTTTCGTAGTGGTGGGACTTTTCACTAAAGGACTTCCAAAAACCAAGATGTAAAGTGGGGAGAAATATAGAAAGCTAAGGATGTAATAAGGACGTTAACGGTGCAGGGAAGGGATACTCCTACGGAAGCGCCTACCCGCCACCTCGTGGCAATCAGACAGGGACTGGTGGTAAAGAAGTTTTTCGCATGAAAGCAGGCGCGCATATAGGCATGCATGCCTACCTGCCTTAGTGTTTCGTGAATCGTACTTGAAACTTCGAAACTAATTTCTTTCGTTTGAACCGTTAAGGAAAGTGACATTTTAAGGTTAGAATGCACGTGGAGAATTATTAATTGTTAATTTTCTCTTTATTAAATAATAAGATTAATATTAAATAGGGTCAGTTGCGGTAAATGTAAACAAAATTGCTTAGTTTCGACAATAAAGTAAGTTTTTTATTTTAAGAAACAATACTTCCAGTTTTCTTTTGTATAAACTTATTACTTACAATTTTTGAGTAACTTTAATAAAAGCTTATATGCTACTTGATTTTATTTATTTGGTCCAACATTGAAAATTTGAAAAAGTCTCCTAGATTAAAAAGAAACAACTTTTGCCTCGATATATTATAAAATATACGGCTCAAAAGTGCTGTTCGCATTCACCCCGAGTTTTCAAATTCTCGGGGTAAATGTAAACAGTTTATTATTTAATATCTAAATTTTTAAAGGTGAAAAATCAAAGTCAATTTTTGTTAAGGCATTAATAAGGAACAATTAGAAATTTTTGTTTAAATTTTTAGTTTATTTTTATGCAAATGCAAGACAAAATACTGAAACAGTAAAAAAATTTAATTTCAGTCGGTCCCTCCGGGTTTCTCAGAGCTGGCGTTAGCGTCGAATTAATAATTTTGTGGTGTGACATATTAATAAACACTAAAATTATTATTTTAGTGTATGTAAAAAAAGAGTTTGTTTAAAATTATTAATTCGACGCGAACGCCAGCTCTGAGAAACCCGGGGTGGCCGACTTTACCCACAGGGCCGAAATAGGACCACTCTCCCTTAATTATTGAGCATTTATTTTTCAATTTTTACCTATTATCAATAAATATATTGATAATACGCAGGAACTTCTAACATTTTTTGATTCACAATCATATTCGAACATTTCCCACATGTCTGGAAAATGTGTAAAAATTTTGGATAATTGAAGAAAAATTAAATTAATAAGAGAAATGTATTGACAGTTTTTGCTAAACAATTGTCAATGACTTCAATGTTTCTTTCTTGGTAATTTGATATAATTTTGACACTTTTCTTCGAGCTCATCTCCTCCATCTAAAAAGAAAATTTGATATTAATATTAATATTTAATATTGGTCGTTTTCGACAAACACTGGCAGTGGCTTGCCAGTGTTTCCCGAAAACCCCCATTAATCTTATTGTTTAATAAAGAGAAAATTAACAATGAATAATTCTCCACGTGCATTCTAACCTCAAAATGTCGCTTACCTTAACGGTTCAAACGAAAGAAATTAGTTTCGAATTTTCAAGCACGATTCACGAAACACTAAGGCAGGTAGGCATGCATGCCTATATGCGCGCCTGCTTTTATGCGAAAAACTTCTTTACCACCAGTCCCTGTCTGATTGCCACGAGGTGGCGGGTAGGCGCTTCCGTACCTTTTCGTAGTGGTGGGACTTTTCACTAAAGGACTTCCAAAAACCAAGATGTAAAGTGGGGAGAAATATGAAAAGCTAAGGATGAAATAAGGACGTTAACGGTGCAAGGGAGGGATACCCCAGTGCCGGCGCTGCTGGAGGTGAGCAAGTTGGCTTCCCAGCGTCAAAATCCAGTGACAACAGTGTTGCAGCAGAGGAAGTGCTTTAAGCGTTTTGAGTGTTAGCAGCGAAAGAAGTTTGATTTTTGTCTGTCCTAGACAACGAGGCCATAAACGAGGAACGCGAAATATGCGTCAGTTTGAGATAAAGAAAGAATCTGAGTTCCTTCTGAGGATCGAAGAGGAGAGGTCGTCAAGATGGTGAAATCTTGCGACATCCAGAAGAACGTTAATGGAACGATCAAGGATAGATTAAAGGTTCTTCAGGACCTTTTAAAATTGGTGAAGCAGAAACTGATAAAGGGGATGTGTAATTGAACTCCGCTTTAGGCTATGCAGGAGGACAGGAACAACAAGAGAGAGCGTATCCATGAGAAACGTCTTCGACGCGCGGTCATGGAGGCGCAAAAGAAAAAACGAAGTACCGGCAGTCCGGAAGAGACAAAAGCCGAGGTATTAATATTAAATTTATTAAAGATAAAATTGCAATTATTATAATCGGTAATTCTCTCCAAGTGCTTGCCTAAGAGGAAAAAAATGTTTAAAAAATGAAGTGCAATAAAATTTGATCTTCCTAATTGAGTCCGCACTAGTGTTGATTTTTTTGTAATTATTACTAATTACAATTACTAACCAAAACTGTAACATAGGGTGCTATAAAATGCATAACAGTACTCAAAAGATGAACTAGTGTCGTGCCTTGCGTTCTCAATGTTCTTGAAAAAAAATTCCACACTGAAAAAAGAGTTTAGTATTAACAACGAAACGTTTGGTTGGTATGTAAGCAACCAAAATTTTTTTGTTGAATAAACAAAATTTTAATTGTCTCAACCAAAATTTGTTTGACACAACCAAAATTAGAAAAAAAGGATTTTTGTTGTCCTAACTAAAGTTTTATTGGGACAACCAAAATTTTTTTGATTCAACAAAACAAATTTGGTTGCTTAAATACCAACCAAACGTTTGGTTGTGAATACCAAACCCTTTTTTCAGTGCAGTACATATTAAACGTGTATTATTTGCACAAAACTCATGCACATTCTTCCTAAACATCCGGCAATAATTTTTAACGTTTCTGTAAAAAATTATTATTGTGTACAGTTATATTCTAATAATTATTATTATATTTATAATAGTAATTATTATTGCATTATAATAGTAATTACTATATTTAAGACAATTATTTTTAAATAAAAAATTGTTGATTTAAATAAATCATTTTATTTAGATAAATTAATTTTTTTTTGATAATGGTCAAGTATCCGATTTTTGAAACCAAAAAATTTTTGTTCAATATAAAAATAAAATTATTACTATTTAATTTTAGATTACCTGACTTATTGAAAGTAAATAAAAAAACGGAAAAATGCACTGAGTAATAATGAAAATGATACACTAAATTTTCGACCCCATTGATTTCCCAAAATTTTTGCCAATATTGTTACTATGACTATTTCCACAGAAAACCACACAAAAGACATAAATACTGTTCGTTATAAAAAAACCAACACTTAAAATGTTATTTTATAAAAATTTTTTAAAATCATTTAAATGTATTTGTAAAATATCAAGGCCAATTTCGTTTAGAATGTTATTGGGTGCATTGAAATAAAACACATTATTGTTAATATAAGGAGAACAATCAATAAGTATATATTTATTTAAACAATATTAGTTTGCGAGGAGTACAAATTTATTGATAGCGGCACGTCTAGTCAGTACGAGTGCTAGCTTGATTCTGCTACAAGTTTTTCTTTTTAAAATGAAGTTTTACAAAATATGGCAACGCTGCACCGAAAAAACAATATTCTTAAATTAAGTATTTCCCACTAACTTGAAGAATATCTCCCACTAAAATAGGTGCCAAGAATATATTCTAGATGTTAGAGGGGATTTACCTAGCGATCGAGTAAAAGGTATTCTAATATTCAGTGTAATCATTTGAGAGCTATAATGATGATAATATTCTTGAATGAAGAATAGAATATACTAAATTTAAAAATAGAGTATTCTTCTTATAAAAAATTAATAAAATATTGATATTTAATACGAAAATATGCATTAAATAATGCTGGAAATAATGAAAAATATTTAGTGCAGATTAAAAAGATAATTTTTTACATTAAATTTTAAATTATAAAATATGCTGAAAAGAAATATATATGAGTTACCATCACCTCCTGTGAAAAAGAAAGTAGGGGTTAAATGATACGAGTTCGTCGTGTAACGCTAAAAACCACTAAAAAACAATTATAGAATCTATAATACATTCTAAGGCACATTTTAACCTCTTCCATATTGACACTCGAAGTAATATTTTTTTAATATTAATTTAACCCGAAACACTGAAAAAGTTTTACGTCGTACACGAGGACACCGGTATTTTCCAACTTGCTTCTGCGTTTTACGGTCGCGCAATCACACATGCGCATAACGCCTTTTCAAAGAATATTATATTCTAAGTTCTAGAATATATTCTTCTTTTAAGAATACCAACTATTATTGCAGATATAAATGGGAGATATACTAAAAATTTTAGAATATATACTAATTAAAAAAATTTAGAATATTGTATACTTCATTTCAGAATACTTTTTTTTCGGTGTGGTAAAAATTTAAAAATTTGGCAACGTTGGGAAAAGTTTTGGAAAAGGCTAAAATTACATGAAAAACTCATCGACACATTTTGCCTTAATTGCTTAGTTAATCCGACAAGACCCAAGGTTGGGTCCGAGCAATAAACATTGAGTCCTAATCCTCT